GGTTTAAACTGGACTACGTTTCAATAAAAGTGTATGTTTTTGACCACGTTGCAGCCAGTGGCGAAGCTAGGACTCCAAACTAGGACAAGCCCAAGATATGGTTTTGTTGTTTTTAGCAGTTTAATAAAAATACACCAATCTTGAGCTGTCTCCACTCTTTAGTTTCTTATATTCAGTGCTGTCAACGACGTGTTTAACAAAGCACACAGAAAGCATACTACCGCTAGATAGATTGTATGACATATTATGCAATTGCACACCTTCGGTGGTTTTGAAAGGAGCCGTTTGGGTTTGCTTGAGATATTTACAAACAATACAATACATGAACAAAAGATGAAGTACAAACAAACTATGTACAAAGTTAAAAAAGGGACGCCTGGCAGATGTGAAAGCTCGAAATTATTTTGTTTAAGTTACATGCATAAAAGAACAGATTACGACAGGAACTAGATATTTATAATGAGAAGATAAAGGTTTGCTAATTTTTTACCATAAAATAATGACTATTTATTACATAATTATTCATTTTTAATTTATAATAAACCGTACAAAATGATATTCAATTCATAATAAATCGTACAAAATGCTATTTTAAAACTCATATGGTAATATAAATATTAAATTAGCCGATAGCGTATTTGTGCCATCTAGCGTAATCTTTAGGTACCATCGTGAGAATCAACCAATTTTCGTTCGATAAAATGACTTTACCTATAGAATTAAGTAGATGGCGCTATTAAAATTTTATATACTGGAAATAACTAACGGGAGTATTCTTAAAAAACCTCAATACATTCTTCTGTATTCTTTTGATTTAAAAAATTTGGGCTTCACGTCAAAAAAAGATTGTAACACTTATTTCATATAAAATTAAACCTAGGTGTCTCAGAATGATATTTTTAATTCGTATGGTAATATAAATATTGAGTTATTAAACCTTTAAATACGCCTAACTTAATTAAACTTTAATACTAAAGAGTCCTGTACCTATATTTGAAGTATGAAGAAATGTTTATTGAATATTAAATTTAATTTTTAAAGATTTTACCTTTTACTCGCCGATTAGCACTTCAACACACTTATATTCATCACAATGAACATTATTATCCTCCCATTTTCACTGAAAATCTTTGAAAAAGCATAAATTTTTAACAAACACAATGAAAACAAATATAAACATTGAAATGTGAAGTGAACTTGCATACGAATGGCCCGCACCCCATTCGCTAGTCGCTAACGCACTCCTAAACAACTTCAAGGCAAAGCCAGGCTTGTGGCTCAATAGTAATTGCTATATAAACATTTCGTAGTTATATTTCATTAGAGAACATTATGCCACAGGTTAGAAAGGGAGCGATCGCCTTCTCGAAAGCCCGATAAAAATCCCACGCGTGCGATGGAGAAAACCAATCGCTCAATTCAACTCTCCTTATATGTATGACAGCAGTATTCGTAAGGCTACGAGGTCAAACAGAGTGCGCGGGAAATTTGAAATACTTTGAAACAGTTTACGAGTTATTTTATTACTTATTGATATAATTGATAGATTCATCTCGCCACTGGTTGCAGCTCTATTATGTTCGCACGAATGGGTCGGTTCGACTGGGGTGGAACCACGTTCTCATAGAATACCTATATCTCATAGAATATACTCAAAATACCAGCTTGATGCTGCTGTGTTTTGTATGGCGAGTTTAGAGAACTGAAGACCCTTTTTTACTGGAAACAAGGCATTCCAACCTAGTCCTCAGTTCCCTCAAGTTACCACCAGCCGGACTGTGTGCTAGTTTCTGATGTTTCAACAAAGAGTTAAAATTGCAGCTTATATACGTCCTCATAGCTGGACACATGCCTTCTCTCTTTTTTGAGAGAGTTTGAGGGCAAGGAAATGTCTGCCGCGCTGCCCCAATGCGTGTTGGCGAACTTCACATGTATTCGAAATATTTTTTTCCTTATTTCTCAGACATGCAGGTTTCCTCACGATGTTGCCTTCACCGCCGAGCATGTTTAATATACAGCACTTAAAATTGCAATTAACAATTTCATTGTTGCCACGTATCGCTTCCTGTGAAATTTACAGCGAGCGCTAAGCCCATGAGATACCACGGCAATATACAGTCCCGTGGGAAAATACTAATTCAAATGGAAAATACGTAATTTGACAGCAAATGTCAAGCTTCGGGAAGACTGTGGCGCCGAGCTAAGGGACTTCTTTTCTTACAGATAGGTACTATTTTTTAATCTTGAGAATTACAAAACGTGGTTTAGTGTTACTAGTAGTGGAGTATTTTTGACGTGGTAGTTTGACTGCAGTACGAGAAGACCTGCTCAATCGGAGAAGGACCACACTCTATAGATGAATAGCGTAAACAGCCCAAGCCATTAAGCAACAAGGTTGTTATTATTCACAGTGATTTTTATTTAGTATTTCATACATCATCATCATATCATCATAATCAAAACCAGCAGCATTTTTAAATCTACTGCCTTTGGGCAATGGTCTTGCCAAGAATGCGTTAAGCGAACATGCATTACTCGTACGCGAAACTTTAAATGGTGGGTTAGTGAACAAGGAATCAACCAATACCCCGCATTTTGCGTTTTTGATTGATCTTATGACATCAATCGATCACCAGAGTCTTGTCCGTCCACCAACAGGTCAACGACTGCAGGTCAGAATGTCATTTAGAGAACATTTGGATATTCCCATTTCCACTCCCTCATCCCATAAATCCTATACTTCAATAAGAAGAAAACAAAAACTAATCACAGATATTCCCAAACATCAAAGAAAATAAAAAATCATGTTTCTCTCGTCATAAGTTAAAAACAGCATCTTTTTGACAGTAAATGTCAAAAAGATGCTGTTGATGAAAACAGTAATTCTGTTATAATATAGATAGAGTGTAAGAAAACGTAAATAACGCACATTGATCACCAACTGTGATTGATGATATGATTCCATCACAGTTCGTGATCAATGTGCGTTATTTACTACACTATGATTAATGTGGGAGCACTACGTACTACCTATACATAGTAAGGTCATGTGAGTGAGAGTGAGGGAATAGAGAGTGCACCTCTGCTTGCGCATACACTTCGGCACTATAATCAATACCGACTAAGAAATTCGGTCTGGAGGACATTAAGGTCATAATTGTTCAAATACTGTATTGTCACCGGTCCTAGATACGATACAAATTTGTAAGTCAATCGGCCGTCTACAAATTGGTGAAAGTTATATTAAGAACTATGTCATAGATAGATATAACATTCAACGCAGCAACAATACTAACTTTAAAAAAAAAAGAATAATAATCGAGACCTAGCTCCGTCCCGCCTAATTGCATTGTTATGGCGCCGTAAATACCGAGTACTAATGAATGACAGATAAAAGTGGAACTGAACACAATTTTCTTAATCGTATACTCAATTAGTTATCGCATAATATATAGTACCCGGATGACCGAGCTTTGCTCGGTTTTTTTAAGTTACATTTATATACAAATTAAGATATAGATAGATAAGACACAAAATTTTATGAAAATCGTTGGAGCCGTTTCCGAGATTCCGATTATATATATTATATATATATATATATATATATATATATATTTATATTTACATATAGCTCACTTTGTATTGTGACCGAAAATACGAGCAATTCTTAACCTTCGCGCAATTCCATCTATATCAGTTTTATTTAAGTTATAAAGTCAATGTGGCCAAAGAAGTATGTTTTTGTACTCAAACTAATCATACTTGATCAGCAACTGCAATAAAGATATTGTCTGATGTATTTAACTTGATATGCAAGTGATCACGGCTTCATAAACACAAAGTATAAATGAGAGATTGAGAAATTGAAATGTCAACCTAATAATGATTTCTTGGATTTACGCGAACATTACACATTGAATAAAACCACTTATACGGATTTTATCGCGTTTAATTAACTTATTTTTAAACCCAGAAGTTTTGGGTGCTTTACAGCACCCATGGTCACGGGGGGTTTGAGATCTTTGACGCCGCAATGTAGCCCGGCTTCAGTTTTCGAACATTAATTTTTGGTCCGATCTACGCAGAACGAGTTTACACCGTATCTTGAACTCTTGCAGTGGTATGCTTATGTTTGGATTTAATTTTGTTAATTATAGGATCCCAAGTAGATGGCAGTACCCATCCATCTTCTCTATTGAAATTAGGAAGTTTGTTAATATCAATAGCCTCGCGCATACTTGGTGGGAATCGGTGTTTTTTGCGAGGATTTGTGGTTTATTAAATCTGATGTAATGGTGGGGACGATCTTGAACATGTTCACAGCCTGCAGCCTTTCCGGACCGCCGGTGCTTTACATCAGCTATACAAACATCTCAGTCACACCCGTGACCATGGGTGCTGAAAAGCACCCGAAACGTATAGCCGAAGCGAATAGCGATTGACTTGAAGGAAGATAAATCTTTGAGAAGACCACTATTTGAGTAGAAATAGGCAAAGGCCGAGAAAGAGCAAGATAAATTAAGACCAGCAACAAAACTTGGTGAATTAATTAAAGAAATAAAGAAAGTTTTATTACCAATCATGGTTTATGCTTATGTATAAAAAGTTTATACTATTTAAGTTTATTAGATATTTACAGATAAACCATTAGCATGTTTAAAAAGTTTAGGAACACAAAAAACATTGTTATTATTTTCTATTGATTATAACATTTTTATCTAATTAAACACTGACCTCTATACATACAAGTAGGGTAAAGGTTGGCTTTATGGTGATAATAAGAAAAAAACTTAAAATTTTATTTCAAAATTAACATTTATTAGAAAACCTCTTTACTTATTACAATAATCAGACTTTTCTTTTCAATAATTATTAATCACAGCAACTTAAATTCTTAAACATTAATAGGAAAATCAGATCAAACAAATCTTTTTGGTGTTGGCAATATGGAGATACGGGGGCAATTTGGTGATACCATATGTGGCAATATGGTGACAAGTCTATTCAGGTGCCCAATCACTGTCATCAGTGCCTGAAAAGTCTACTTTATCACAATTATCACACAGGAACTGTGGCGACTCTGTGCCAGTACATTCTTGGTGATACCATTTGCCGCAGCTCATGCACTCTACCCATACAGCTCCGTTCCTAAGTGCCACATCTTGGGAGTAGTGAACACCGCAATAGTCACACATCGTACTTTTATTTGATTTTGGTGTTTTCTCTACCTTGACTCTTGGTAGTTTACGCTTCAGGTTGCTTTCAGTTGAAGGTGCAGGAGTTGGAGAAGCAGAGGGGACACGAATCGAGGTAACGGTCTCCTCACTGGTAACGGCGACTGTGGTTTCGTTTGATAGGGCGACGATGTTTTCTTCAGGACTGTCCATGTTGTTCGTGCTTTGAGGTGTTAAATATCGGGCCTGTGGATTCCGCTTAGCTCGTCGGGTACTAGAAGAAGAAGACTGTGGTACCTCAGGAACGGAAAGTAAAGAGAAAACTGAAGGTGACGCAGTTTCACGATTGACAGCAGAAGCTTGGGCATTATCAGTGGAAGATTCAATTGCTAAAGCGTAACATTTAGCTTTGATGTCTGTGACGCTGAGACCAAATCCTAGTTCTTGTATTTTAATTATGTAGGAAACAAACTTACATTCAAGGTCGCTGTCTAATGTGAATGGTCTCCCAAGTTTAGGTAAGTCGAAACTTTCACCTCCATGAGTAGCTATGTGTCTTCTCAAAATAGACCACGGTATGCCATATTCCTTCGACGCCTTGTACACTGACCAATTATCCTTTATAACTTTCATATAAGCCTCCTTGAAGCGTGAAGAGTCATAATTTCTGCGTTTCTTGCCCTTCATTTTCCTTTTATTTGCCTTTCCGGACTTGTTCCTGTAAGAAAAATCATCCAATACGTAAGACTATAACCCGGACTAATGAAACACAACCCGATATTTTTTTTAACAGAAAGATACAACATTTCGAGCTTCATCTACCCTGAAAACCCCATTCAAATTAAGCTTGAAATAAAATAAAAATAAGCTATGTAATGTTTTTGGTAATTTGGTGATATTTACGTACCGATTATCCTCCATTTTTTCGCATATTTTGGCGCGAAACAAATAAACCGCGTCCGGTGAGGACAGCGACCAGCGGCCAAATGAAAGAGAGTGAACATACTCGCCTTCAGTTCATTGAATGAACGCAAAACTCGCGCTGGGCATTATAAAGACCGTTGAAAGCAAAATTATCACCATATTGCTATATATCACCATTTAGCCAACCTTTACCCTATGTACGCTTAAGTCTTAATCGGCTTAAACTAGTGTGTTTCAATAAAAGAATCGCGTGGAAAATATGCGAACTAAATTGTTAGGCATACATTCCACGCTCATGCAGGCGTCAATCAATTTCATCAATCATGATTGATAAAAAACGGATGGTGACTGACGTACATTACGCACTCAGGCAGGCGTCAATCACTGCATTACACGGTAGGTTATTTGTCAATCACAACCAAAGACTACAATATTATATATCTTAACCGTGATTATTGTAAAACTGACAGCCTGCATGAGCGTGTAATGTACGCCATATGTATGGAATTTGATGGCAAATGTCAAATTGTAAAAACTGTGGCGTTACGGCCAAGGTACCTTTTACAAAGAATTTTTTTAAACCGAGATCTTTGAACAAGACTGTGTCTGATATGTTGCTGTGACATATTAGGAAAGACGGAGAGGATGAAGTTACAATAAGGATTTTTCGTTCTAAGATAATGATGATGTCATTTTATTCCTTCTGATTTTTTTCATTTTGATTTACTTTTCTTATTCCGATATAATAAGTAGTTCTATGCGTACAATTTAAAATTACGGTGTAATTAAATATATTATAAAGAATCGTATATTATAAAGAAATACATGAACTTAAACATACTTTATAAATCGAGAGGTTATAAATATAGAATCGAAACGGAACAGTTACATAACACTTACGAGTTATGACGAAACAACCAATATGTGTTGAATATCGCTATTATTATAACTTAAGACCCGCGATCAAGGACTCTATTTTTAAGCCATACCATACGGCCGTGGCCGTAGCGGCGATACGGTGTTATCAAGCGACAAACATCGACGATTTGCATTTCAATTTTCGCTCAATTATCACGAACTGTGTTTAGTTTTCCTCGTATGTCATTCGGTTTGTTGTGTGTACTCCGTAATATTATTGAAGGTAATCGTATTTATGCAAATGTACCTACTCATAAAGAACATGTAAAAGACCACGTTGAAAGAATTTAACGGCATACCTTAGGTATCATCGTCATCAGTCTGAATATGGGACTGGTAGGTAGGTATTCTGTGTCCAAGATGCTATACGGAGCACAATGATGATGCAAAATCTTACCTAAGTTATTTAAAAGAAAAGGAGAAGGTGCAACAAACCTGAACATAGTCCATACCAGATACGGTCTACTATAGAAGTCTACTGCTGAACACAGGCCTCCCCCATAGATTGCCTGATAATGGGGAATTTTTTTTATAAAATAAGGGTGACAAAGGAACACACAGTTCACCTGATGGTAAGTGGATACTGTGGCCCATAGACATCTACATTTATCCTACATTAATAATCAAAATGCAGATGCGTTGTCACCCTGAACACTAAGATGGAATGCCTCGTTTCCAGTAAAAAAGAGTCTCCGGATCTGTAAACTCACCATACGAAACACAGCAGCCTCAAGCCGTTATTTTACGCTAGTATTCTGTGAGACGCGTGGTCGCGTGGCTCTACCACGTGTAAAATATACACGGATTTTGTTCTTGTATATGCTGCCCTCACCTCTCCTCCTCTCATTTACCAGAACGATAATGGAGTGGTGGATACTTCTTGGGGAATGCCTTATAAAGTAAAGGAACTTCGTTTTTATACACCGCACGAAACACTTTATGCTACTACTTTTTACTCTTATTCTGTGAGAGCCTACTGCCCCAGTCGACCCAACCCATTCGTGCCTTCTTTGTACTATTGTACTACCTTCTGATATTTTTTTTTAGAATAAGAGTAACAAACGAGCACACAGTCCACCTGGTGGTAAGTGGATGCTGTGGCTCATAGACATCTACATTTATCCTCGATTAAGAATCAAAATGCAGATGCGTTGCCAGCCCTAAGGACTGAGGTGGAATGCCTCGTTTTCAGTAAAAAGGGTCTCCGGTTCTCTACTAACTCACCGTACGAAACACAGCAGTATGAAGCTGCTATTTTACGTTGGTATACTGTGAGAGCGTGGTTCTACCGCGGTCGAGCCGACTTATTTGTGCTAGAACCACAACAGCTGTAGCGTGGCTCTACCACGTAAAAATACCAGAATGATATATTAGAAACTTAGATCTGTTCGTCTTTCATTTACAATAGGTAGGTATGCCATTCCGAAGATCAGTCCGATCAGACGCTCAGGCAGACAGACAGACGAAAAAAATGGTTATCGGTGTTATAATTGCATCCAAAATCCCACCCCCCTCAATATAAGGTAGTTATTTCGATATTATGGACAGACACTCAATATTATTTAAATGTATAGATAGATATTGTATGCTTTGGTACGTCTACAATTTACTAGTTGTCCTAAATAATTATAACGGTGCAAATTTTTACATATTTGCTTAATATCAACAACTGTAAGCAATAAACGTTCAGGTTTCGTGCCGAGTGTATTACACAAAGACTATACACAATCAATATAATCTACACTAATAAAGTGTATTACACGAAAGTATTATCCGGGTCTTGATGATGTCCTTTTAGACGTTCTGGCGATAATCTTAGATCGCTTCAGTAGATACAGCAACCGATTGCGCAACGTAAGGTGCCACGTCACAATTTCCAAAGTCCTATTAATTCGATATGCGTGCGGTGGGTAGGCGACTTTAGGGGCTTCACTGGCGCGGCGGTCGGGCGAAAGTGGAAGCCATGACGGATTTAACCGCCTATCCTATTTCTACTAAAGTAATTTTATCACCAGTTGATACTATAATAAAATTTGCGCGGAAAACGTTGCATAAATTCTTAGGGTTGTGCAGGTACATATCGATGATATTATTGTTTTAAAGATTTTGGCTTTAGAAGTAAATATTCTATTAAAATCACAAGTTATAATTAAAAAAAATGTAGTAGTATAGAATAGGTAGCTACTTCATAAGGCTTCATTTCATCTATACATTTAACTAACGTAACCTGATCCCAAATCTCTGGGAAACTGCATCTAATCCGTCCTCCTAAGTCCCACGCTATACAATTATATCCGAATGCTATGTAGTTTCGACGGAAATAGAATGCCATATTTTACGCACTTTGCTGCCTAAAAAGGGTTTTTTGGCTTGTTTTTAAAGCCATGCCTTCATTTCATTCGGGATCTTGGTTTTTATAGATATTTTCTTCACAATATGCTGATGCATCACATTCTGAAGTTCTTGTGAGATTTTGACGACAGCTCAACCCAGCGGACAGTCGATCACTCAAGTTCATAAGGCACCTAAAGCGATTAATATAACACAATGTGTTAATTGTAGTTAACGACAACTTCAAAAGTAATTGTGTACAAACTATTTTATTCTTTTTAGTTTTTAAAGTCTGTTTTTATGATTAACCTCTCAACCCCCTAGCGGTCTCATGAGACCGCGGTCATATTCCGTCCAATTCCTAGCAGTCTCATGAGGTCGCGCTCACCCACAGCACTTTAACCCATAAAAACTTATTTATAGAGACTACTTTTCTATGAAGAAGTTTGGCATTATATAATCAATACGAAATACTCTATCCTCTAGTGCAATAAAAAAAACTGGTATCCAATGAATACTTATTTATAATCTACGTTCATTTCGTACGCCATTTTCGCGTGGATGTTATTGTGTTGATTTTTGGGTTTTTCTAATGTTTTATCAGTGTTTTAGTATAGTGTTTTATTATAAAATTGTAACGAAAGTTTTTGTGTGAATATAATTTATCTTTTTACGTAAATAATTTTATTGAAATAATTGTGATTTTCACGCTGCCGACATCCTCTTGGTATGTATTTTTTTGTTATCAAAATACAATAAAATCTTTTTGTAATGAAGTAAAACGTGACTTTTGTTAAGACCACATGATAGAGAATTTCGTATAGATTTTATAATGCTAAACTTCTTCATAGAAAAGTAGTCTCTAAATATAAGTTTTAATGGTTTTAAGTGCTGTGGGTGGGTGCGGTCACATGCGACCGCTCGTGATTTTCCTGCATGGGATTTTTATGGCGCCTGAAGGGTTAAAATTTATTTTTATTTTCACGTAGTTATGTATTATTTAAATTATTAAAGTATGACTGTAATATATTTATTTTATTATTAAGTGAATGAAATGTTTTTGTTCACATAATATGGATCCTGTGACAATGATGAAATGAAATTAAAAAAAATCTAATTTTTTTGCCTCTGTACTTTAAATACTACCATTTATTTACCTTACAACTGTTCAAAAAACGCGACTCGTTCACAGATGCTTTTCTACAAACCATACCTGAAGTAGAAAACCATTATTTTCTGTTACTGATAAAGTTAGTTTCACGGGTCACGGGCCACCGGCTCGACACGAAGCGGACTAACTGCCATGGTAATTGTAACGGGGACTGATCAACAGGCCGCCGGTTCCGTTACGAGCGAGTGCATACGGTGGCAATATAACTTGCTCAATAATATACCTTGAAGTACGACAATACAAAAAGTAGAGACATTTTCTTTCTGCTAACATGTTTTTGTTATTCAACATTTATGTTTTACTTGTGTTCGCTGAATTATTATAATTCGACAGAATAACAAAA